ATTATCCACTCTTATCAAGCAGCTTCTCGTATTCAGTTAATTAACTCGTGCTTTATTTGTATCTCCTTGTGCTGTGTGTATCGTACAAACGTGGTGGGAATGTAGCCGGTATTTATTTGGTGCCTGAGAAAGTGTCAGTTATTGTGCTCTGAGTGCCCCTGGAAGGCCCTGATTCAATTATGTAAAATACTTGTTCCTCTGTGCTTGGAACCCGAACATCGATTGTCGTCCACTATCTTCCTGGAACCACTCTCGTCGTCCTTTGTTGGCGTGAGTTCTTTCAGCTTCTGCTATGTTTCTGTAGCATTTCCCCTGAACTAATCGCAGATCCGCAAATTCGTGAAAGAAAATTCAAAGTAAGTCACAATTTGACAGATTATTATTATTATTGACAAGGGCTATCCACCTGTAACTATCTGTTAATGGCAAAAAACATCATTGCCGATGTGCCTTTTCATCAAAAAATTGTAGAACAGAACTTTTTCAATATCGCAATTTTTCGTAATTTGAAGCAAAGATCGTAATTTTTCTTTTTGAATGCTTAAGTATTTCAATATGCTAACAATTAAACATGGAACAATTTAAAAATAATGCTTAATAACAAAGTTGCAATTCGATCTTCAACTGTTAATATCTTGCATAAATTTTCGAAAAAATATTTTCAATATTTTTCTCGTACTCTCCAAGTGAGTCTCCATCACCCCTTAAAAGGAATGACGCCAATTTTGAATCACCCTGTATATTTTTTATCGAAGCATCGCGAAAGCCTTTGCAGTTTCCGATGCATGTAGACCGTTTCCAGATGCATTAGGGTTGGCATTTACGACCGTTTTCAAGCAACATATACATTTTTGAATTTATGGCACTTAGACTGAATATATAGCACTTTAGTTATACTCTTCAATTACTAAATAAATATTGTTAAAATCTTTATTCTAGTGTTTGATGTAGCTTACTAATGAAAATTTTTAGCATTAGTAAAATTAGGCAAGAGTAATCAAGTGTCGCGCACTGTATCAGTTGAAAATGGAGTTTCAGCTTTGTTATTAAGTATTACGTTGAAACGATCCTATGTTTGATTTGTAGCCTTTTTGAATAATTAAGCATTCGAAATCATAAACATTTTTTATATTAAAAAAGTAATCTACAATTTTTTGCTGAAAATTCAGAGCGGAAATGATCCCTTTTGTCATTATCAGGTAGTTACAGGTAGATAGCTGATTTGATTTGCTTCTAAAATTACAGTGATCACTTCCATAGTAAATTAAAAATTATTACAGTATACCAACATGTTGATATAAAGACCATGTGGATTTAGTGGAACCAATTGTCGAAGAAAACAGCGTTTTCTGCAGGGGGCCAATGAATGATAATTCTACGGGCGGTAATCTGCTGCAGTACAGTTAATCTAACGAGCAATAAAACTGACATGTTTTATTAGATGGAATTACTAAAATGACTCCTAATTATGCCGCTCATTTTAATTGCCAAAGGTTAATAGAGGCAGACCTCTTAGTCTGTCTGCTATCGTGTTATAATTGCAAACAAAATACTGTTCTTCCAGTTGAATGTCACGTGAAACTGAAAATTCAGCAGGAACTAATGATTCACAACAATAGGAGCACGAAACAAAAACACCAACTACTTATTCGAACTGATATAAATTCCATAAATTTGTTCTGGCATGTTTCGTCGCGTCACCGAAATTACTTCGATAAGGAGCTGATCCGAAAAAAGCTTGGCATTGCCAGCAGACCAACAGCACTACTAACAACCAAAAACGAGTGGAAATATCATGCTGAAAATTCTCAATTATTGCGTGTTACACAGTGACAAGACTACCGATGTGTCGTTACGTCTAATTAACGTGCTTTCGAAACCAATGTCATCCTGCACTGCGATTGATAGTGGTGCTAACTTGAGGAAATTATTCGCTGGAGCAGTGAAAGCTGTACAACCGGCCTCATTAATCAATAATCAGGTGCGTAATCACTCAAATAACCGATTTTTTCTGGGAAGTTGTTATTGGGCTGTTGCCTGTTATCTGCAAACTTATCTTGAATGTTAATAATAATGTTATTTTATTAATAAGATAACAATTGTTGTCAAATCAGAGCGCTCAATTTTTGAATAAATCCTCTATTAGAATTTGTCAATTTCATACTTTACATTTTTGTGCCTTGACCTCAAATAGATTTGAATCTATACATTTTAAAAAGCCGGGCGATGACAAACAAGCATTTTCAATATTTTTACGATAAGCGTTGCCAATAGGTATATCAATTCCATCATGGTCTAGTTGCAGATGAAATATTGTAGTTAATAACACCGCAAACGACGAGAATATTTTATAGTAAATTATACTCAGGAAAAAGGGTTGGATTCGTAAATTTGCGATTTCTTGTGTTTTTAGTGTTAATAAGTGATACTAATAAACCGCCACACTTGCACTGTTCAAAAGAGTTTTATTTGTAGGAAAAGCAGCCCGAATTTTCCCAACCTACATTCCTCTAGTTCATTTACATACAGTGGCCAACCGCCTTAGTTATGTTAAATATGCAAGCCAAGATCCATATTTCATTTTCTGTCTCTTCAAGGTTGATTTTTTGTTTGTTGCCCATAGTGTATTAGGACTTGTTAAGAAAACGATCATTGAGAACAGACGTCATGCTTTTGTTCGTTTCATGGAATAAAGCGAATTAAAATCATATAATCTCTATTTTTTTCAACATTTGAAATTTTCATAAGCCAATTTTTGTTCATTCTCAGGTTAAGCTAGCAGATGGCCACCTAACAGTGAGCGATCAAAGCTTTCCGCTCGCCAAATCCTGCCATGTGGCAGGATTTGGAAAAGCGGTCCTGGGAATGGCTCTGGAACTGGAGCGGACTTTAGGCAATCGATTGAAGAGGGCAATAGTGGTCGTTCCAAAAGGAATTTTTCAAAACTATCCTCAATTCAAGCAGGAAAACTCAAAAATTGCCTTTATCGAAGGGGCTGCAAATAATATGCCCGATCGAGATGCCCTGGTTGGAGCTCAAAGTATTAAAAAGCTGGCGGAGGAATTGCAGGAGGACGATTTGCTCCTGGTTTTAATTTCAGGTGAGCCAAAGTGGTGTTTGTAGATGTACTATGTAAGTTACTAGAAATATTTTCCATTAATATTTAATCCTGATTTAGTTTCCTGACTGCGTGTGCTTGTGTGAAGTAAAAATTTGAAACATCGTTTATTTCAATTCATGTTGATTGATGAATTAATTCAAAAATCATGATTATCTTTACCAATCATGAGGTAAGTTTTTTCCGGTGTTTTGCTCTCCCAAAAGAAAGGATTTTTTCCCTCAAAAACTGATGAATGTTTTAACACTTTGTAAATTATGAATTTTATACAACATGTTTTAATTGTGAATGGGTGTTTATAGTTTGTCTAAATTTTAAATCTGATGATGGCGCTGTTGTCTCGCTGAAACATAATGAAATAAACGATGTTCAAAATTTTTACTTCACACTTTGACTGAGACCCAGGTAAGATAAGAATATCATAATTAATATTTAAGTTTTTTTAAACGGTAAAAAGAGGCAGACTATCTGGGCGAAGTTATATAAATTAAGATCTGAAGCAAGAGCGGATTTAAGGGGGGTCATGGGGGTCATGACCACCTTGCTGATGTTGTTATGAATGAATCAAAGTTTCTATTCTCTTTCCAACAATGCCAAAACGAAATCTGTGGATGAAATGGTTCTTGAGAAACTTCGAAAAAAGCAGCGTCATGTTTCAGTCGATTTTCCAACTAAAAAAAAACACGCAAATTTAAAACTTCTTGAAATCAACTGCCAACATTTCCTTCACTATGGTTCACTTTCTAAACAGGCCATTTATTTCTCTCTGAAATGAGTAATGTAAAAAATAAGCGTTGTCGATCATTTTTCTTCCGAGGAATGAGCAAAAACGGGACGAAAAACATGAAATTTTGGCATAATTTTACACCTAAACGGCTGATATTGAATTTCCGCTTTCTAGCTCAAAACGACTAGAATTTCCCCACTCATGTTGTTACGACTGAATCGAGTTTTCAATTTGAAATCCAACGATGCCAAAACGAATTCTGTTGCTCAAATGGTTTTTGAGAAACTTCCGAAAAAATCAGCTTCAGGTTTGAGTCGATTTTGCAACAAAAAAAGCACACAAATCTTGAACTTCCTCAAATCAAGACTTTTTTGAGAAAACTGCAAACATTTTCTTATCGATGGTCGACTTTATAAAAGACCATTTAGTTCTCTCTAGAATGATGTACAAATGAGCGTTCCCGATCATTTTGCTTCCGAGGAATGAGCAAAAATGGGACTAAAAACGTAAAATTTAGCTTTCTGGGTCAAAACTACTCTAATTTCCTCACTCATGTGTGTTGTTATGACTGAATCAAATTTTCAATTCTCTATTCAACGATGCCAAAACGAATTCTGTGGATCGAATGGTTTTTGAGAAACTTCGAGTAAAGCAGTCATGTTTGAGTCGATCTTGGAACTCAAAAAAAACACACAAATCTTAAACTGCCAACATTTCGATATTTCGATTTATCGATAGTTCACGTTCGAAATAGTCCATTTATGTTTCTCTGGAGTGATGTAAAAATGAGCGTTCTTACTTATTTTGCTTGCACCTAAATGTCTGATATTGAAATTTTGCACATAACGAACATTTGGTTCATAACGAAAAGCTAGAAATATCTGCAATATCAACTGAATTTGTTTGACATACATACAGTTAAGTGATTGCCTTTTACCCATTTAATGTAGAAATGTGGACTCAGTTACAACTGAATGTTAGTTGGAGGTAAATTGCTGATTGGGGGCAAATTTGGTGTATTTACGTTCAATAAAGCTTATTTACCCGAGGAAATTTATGTTTGTATATTTGTAGGAGGCGGGTCAGCACTTTTGCCGCTTCCCAAGCCCCCAATTACTTTGGAGGAGAAACAAAACGTTATACAGGGCTTAAGTCGAGGTGGTGCCAACATTACTGAACTAAATACGGTTCGAAAGCATTTGTCATTGCTGAAAGGTAAAGTATTCGAACTTTTTTCTTATCTTCAATTAAAATATAAAGTGATGAGGTGATTGAGCAGACAATTCTTTATAGGTGGAGGTTTGGCAAAACTGGCGTACCCATCTCGAGTAATTTCTTTAATTTTAAGTGATGTAGTCGGAGATCCTTTAGAAGTTATTGCTAGTGGGCCTACTGTTGATTTTCAAGAGGATCCAGATGAGGCAATTCAGGTAGGACAATCCTTCACTTCAAAATCATTTTACAAATGCAAGTAAATATCATTATGGACCTAAAAGTTGCAAAACTCGTAAAAACAACAACAAATTTTTACCAAAAACCGGCTGTTCGGGTACCCAATGAAATAAAGTGGTGGCTTTAATTTTCCGACTCCCAACGAATTAGGACAGCATAGAATTAAACTACTGCAAAAACCCTTTTCCGCATACTTCCATGCATGTAAAGTGATGCTGTTAAAAAGCAATTCCGTACAGTTACTATCAAACTAAATAATAAGCGCAGTTGGAGAATTCACCCCTGTAATATTCGCCTTCTTGAAGCAAATTTCCATTCTCGCCGCGAAATTAACTTTCCTGTGCTAAATAGGTTTCTAGCACTGGGCGCCCAAACAATTGACCTGCTTTCTCTTGCAGATTCTGGAAAAATTTGGACTCTACGAGTCCGCCCCGCTTTCCATTAAAACCGTGCTGGAATCTCGAGAAATGCAATCAAATCATGGAGGCAACGAAACGGCCTGCACGCCATGCCAGAACTCTAATAATAGCTCGACGGAAAAATCGTTTCCAAATGGAAAATTCAACCACGTTTCCAATTTCATAATTGGGACTAATCGAATTGCCACAGATGCAGCCAAAAGTCTCGCCATGGCTTGGCACTGGCAAACCATTATCGTTTCCCATAAGGTCAGACAGTTATTTTAAGTCATTTGCAAGATTCAAGTACATGTTGTGCCATGTATTGGGTGGCCAGTTAGTTTGGGTCATTAACTGGAGTTTTTTTTTATTGGTCCAAATTGCTGTAGATATAATGATTTGACCAACGATCAGGCATCATCAGATGTAAATAATATCTTCCGAACAAAACCAACCAAAAAGTTGAAGACCCAAATAGTTAAAAAACCACTACAAAAATGAATAATTGTTCGCTGATATCTTTCCTCAAAAAAAGTTATTTATTTCTAACATTCTGTATTAGGTGGAGGAAGACGTGAACAGGCTGGCAGAAATTTACGTTCAATTGGCTTACTTGATCATTGATGGTAAGCTTCTGAAAATCAAAGAACTGCTTGTAGGCCTCCCGTTTGAATTAGAGGAAAACGCTGTTCGAGACATTTTAGGGCTGCACAGAAGCAGGAAAATGCTACTGATTTTTGCCGGTAAGCCCATGTAGTAAGTTAAGAAAATTTGATCTTATTGAATCCGTTCATAACGTTAAACGCCTTTGGGTCTCCGTTCGCCAGGATTTTGTGTTTTGCCAGTCATCTTCTGATACATTTCTGGCTAACACTGTTTCTCAGTTCTCTTGCTTTCCTGTTCTTGGTGGTTTTGCTCTCTTGATTTTCTTCCTTATTTTTGTTCCAGATGTTGGGTTGAAATTGTTGGCTCTTCTTGATTAAGTGCTTTGTGTTGATGGTTTCGTGTTCAGGTCTGTTTCTGCAAGTGATTTTTATGCATTTTTTCCAATTTTGAAGCCTATGGAGTTTTTTATCATTTGCTCATTTTTGTTGGATTTCATGTTTTTCAAAAATCTTCAGAATTATTTTCATTTGCCAACAATACATGAATCTCGGCAAGCTCGGATCTTTGGTTTTTTGCTTTTGTCACCGTACATGTACATTTTCTTATTATTTATCTATTTTCTGTTCCTGCTCATTCACATTGGAATCACAACCATCTGGAATATAACTTGGAACTTACACCAGCTTTCTGACCTATTTCAGTTTCTTATTTACTTGAATGTTCCAACTAGAGACGAGTACATTTAAAACTGTTTTTCGGGCTTTGAAGCCGTGGTTCTTGAAAATTTCTTCCTGACGGTTCAGCCACAACTGCGGTGGACAGTATCAAATGCGATGAGGCAGTGGGCGAAGTGATCTCCCGTGCTTTCCCATTAAGACTGGTTCAACTATTACTATTTGAACATATTTATTATCAGCTAAGTTTACAAACTCCGTACTCCTGACATCATCGGACGACTGGTTGAGAGCTGGTTCTCGATTTTAACCTGGAAGCTGCGTCCAGATAGGTAACTGCTGATGAGCTTAGTTTGGTAGCCCGGAAAGCCTGC